CACACCCAACCCCAACGCACATCCCTGTCCCACATGTTCGCTTGCAACACGTTAGATGGCGCAGCTACGCTGTAACTTCGCCGTTTCTCAGTATTTTTTGGTGGCGGTAGAGGAAGTGGCTGCTTAGGATACAATGGGTAATGGGTGGGTCTGCGCTCTCTCTACGTGTGTGTGTGTGTGTGGGGGGAGGTTAGGTAACTTTAATTGGGTCCTGAGGGTGCTGTGAATGCACCTTTTGCTATGGCCACCAACCCTATCGCATATCCGAGTTCATGGCGGTCATTAGCTTCGATTCCTGGGGGCAGCCCGAAAAGGTCAGTTGGTCACATTAGCAACGGCAACGGCAACGGCAGCAGCAAACAGCATCATCAGCAGCAGCGACCGACAAAATTCAAAGGCATCTCCATAAAAGTTTCGATTACAGGCTGCTGATATTATTTTTTGTTCGTTGCATAAAAGAGGTTTTTATCTGGCAGTTCCAGACGCCGGTCAAGCACCTCAGACTGGGAGAGACAGAGATGATGATCTGCGGTGGCTATCGGGTTACGCAGCAGCCCGACGCAACGGCAGTCAAGTTATTAACCTCAGGCTCTGAGCTGCTGATCTCTCGGGCTAACAAGATTACAATTTATGGCATGGCAACAGGGACAGGAAACTCCCAGCAGCATTCTAAGCGAACTAATAGAAAACTTTAGCAACATTTCTAGAAGAAATTAGAGCAAAATTCCAGCAGTTTGCCGACTGAAATGAAAGGGAAACTGAAACTCTCCTTAGGGAACACCCACAAACGAAAGCAAACGGAAGCTACACATCTCCAGAGTCCTAACTGAACTGTAACTCAAGATCAAAGGAAGACCATTACACTGATCAATGAACCCAGAGTCCGTCCCAGTGCCCGTTTCGGATCCACACACATCAACGTCATCTCTCTGCTTCCGATCTCTCGCTCGGTCTCCCTGCTTCCGATCTGTCTGCACTCGATCTTAGGATCTTTTTTTTGAGCTTCCTGAAGAATCAATTACACATCCATCCAGCAGCAACAGATGTGCGCTGGCGAGAGAGATCACTAACCATCTCGAGTTACGCCAGACACGACACAGCGCTCCGTTCTTTTTGTGGCCTTCATTAAAAAAGAAAAAGCTGCAAAATGTTTATACTCCTGGCAAAATTGTACTCTTTCAACTGCAACAGAATATTCCCTTGCCTTCGTTGCTGCTGCTTGTCTATGCAATAAAAGCAACAGGACAACAAAAGCTGTGCCATCAACAAGGATATCAGATGAAACGGGTTGCTCCCAGCACCCAGCCAGCTCCTTCCTCCCTTGGATAACTAAGAAGAATTGTTTTTCAACCCCTGTTATTGTTGTTGATGCGACTAGCGGAATGTAAAAAGTCAGTTCTATGGAAATCATTAAAAATGCGGTAAAAGGAAAGGGAAACCCCCACCAACAAAGCAGAGAACTTGTTGCCAATCGAAAACAAAAGCAAGTCACGGACATATGTATGCACGGAAATTACAAGCAATTTGTATGCAGACTGTGGGCCAAGAATTTGCTAAAGATTTTAACACTAAAAACAGATGGGAATAAGTGGGGACTTTTCGCATTTGATGGGAAACACTTCCTATTGTTCATTAGGATAATGACACTTGGGGTTTATTTTGAAAGCAGCAAATAAATTATAAGTGGAGCTACCAAGGCAAGGAATTGCTGCTAATATTATACTGTTGGCTAAAGTGATTATTGATTGACCAAAAATAATTACTATAAATGTAATTTGCTAACAAATTCGAATGCCAAATGAATTTTCATTAAGCTGAGCCCAAAAGTTTCCATGGAAAATAAAGCAGAACAAAACAACAGATCAACAGAAAATATTGCCACTCATAGTTCCACCTGCTGATGATCACCTGTTGATGGGTGTTATTCTTCCTGGTCTACAAATAGGCAAATGGGCTAACGACGAACGTCAGAAGCGAGCCGCGCACGCGCACGCGCTCTGCGCCTCATTTCGCATTCGAGGCAGAACTCTGACGTGAACGTTCGCCGAATTATGTGCGGAATATGTGACAAAGTATAACGAAACGGTGCGTGCGAACCGATTGGCATTATAAATGACCGCTGGAAGATGATTGTCCATCGTCCATCCAGCTGACGATGTTGGGTGCGCGCGCAGAGACACTTCGTGGCTGGACTGTCAATGCCCGGCGATGGTCCCGTGGGATACACCGACCGATTGCTGGCCTACGTGATCCACTGCACATCAGCCAAAAATCCAAACCAATAGTCCGAGGGTTTGCCCTACGAGCAGGAAGTGTGGTCCGATCGGGTTCAGTGTCCAGTTTTGTACTTGAAACCCAAATTACGCAGTTCCCGAAATACACAAAAATATAGTCGCCCACCTCCCTCGTTATTTTTGGCCCGAGCGTAAAGTACCGCTAGGCGGGCAGGCAAGTGCGCAAGTGGGCCGACCGAAAACCCGGTTGTGATGTCACCAGAGCCTAAGCGGGTTTTTCGCTCCCCCTTTTGTTTTTTTTTTTGTACCCCAACTTACACTTGAACTCGAGGCACAAAGCGGAGAGGCGGCGGCTGCGATGATTAACGTAGCCCCAGCCCCGAATCGAATCGAATCGAATCGGACTGGAACCTTGTTCACGTTCTTCTCACGTCAAACGGGGGGCTTGCATAAGAGGACACCCCCAGATCACATCGCTTGACACGCCCCTTAAACCGATTAGTCGCAGTCTCTGTCAAGAAAGGGGCCACTGGGCAGGTGAGGCGTTCAAGGAGGAGACATTCAACTCCCTTTACGGGCTACCAAAATAGCTGAAAGCTTGACAACAATTTCTGCATAGCTTTCAATCTCCGATCCTAACTATTGACTGCTGCACCAGTTTCGTTTTCTTTTTGTTTTCGCTCATTAATCATTTGCTGTTTTGTTTCAGCATTTAAGAATCAATTAAGTGCGAAATTTATTGTGCGAAAACGCGTTAACGCTGCAAAACAATGACAGTCACTGTCGCCTCGAATGACTGCGCAAAAAAAAGCACAACGTTGATGGAGAGTTACTTTGAGTTACTTCAAGCACTTACGCACTCGTTTAGGGTGGAGATTGGTACTAAAAATAAGGCTACCCTTTGGGCCGCATTTATTTGTAGCCACTGAATCAACTGGTTCTGTTTTTTACTGATATTTTTACTGACTAAATATGGAAGCGAGCGGGCAGAAAAGTACGGGATTTTGATGGGCTAAGGTCTGAGGTTATGGCTTTCAAATCAATACTAAATACGAATAAATTCAATAAAAGCGTGGCCTGTGAGGTGCTGTAATTATGGTTAATATTTCTTAAAGCTGCTACAATTTCTTGGGTTAATTATTTCCCATAAAAACGTTCAACAGTAGGACCTGCCATAGACATAGTTCCATGGATCCCAACATCAATCAAAAGCCAAACCCTCCTCTGGTTTGTTTCTGCTTTAGTTCCACTTTGGATCCGCGACCCATTAACATGCACGTCCAAACAGCCCTGACATTTCAGCTTACAAAAATTAGACTTCTCCAGCTACAGTTTTGCCACAAAAACTTCCCAGCAGTTGCCCAACCCAAACGACCAGAGCCAGTGCCAGCCATGCAGCCCAAGTACAGGAATTTCCTCCACCTGCAGCTGCTGCTGCTGCTGCTGCCCTTCGCTTTGACAGCTAAGCCCAAGGCCATTGCCGCGAATCCCGATTTGCATGTCAAGCCAGCCGTGCGTACAGTCAACACAGATGGCTACCGGCTGACGGAGGGCGGCCACGTGGGCCGCTGGCTGCTGCACATTCTGATCGGGAATAGATTCGCCTGCGGCGCCTCCTACTACAGTCCGCTGTATGTGCTGACCTCGGCCAGCTGCTTGCACAGGCACCGCAAGAGGCTCGACACTGCGCGCGTGGAGCTCGTGGGTCCCGACTTGGATGGTTCGAGCAACTACGCGCTGATTGAGAGCGTTCATGTGCCCAACGGCTATCGCTATCCGGACAACTACATGGACATTGCGGTGGTGAAGCTGCGCAGGAGCCTGCAGGAGGACGAGCAGCACTTTGTGACGCTCTGCCAGCAGCCGCTGCGCAGCTACGAGAAGCTAACGGTGGTGGCCTGTGGCCTGGATCCCACGGACTCTACGGATCGCACCAGCACCGAGGATGTGGCGCTCATGGAGAAGCGCGACTGCGAGCCGCAGTATGAGAAACACAGGCTGAGGATCTCCGAGACGATTGCCTGTGCGCGTGAGTTCAATCGTGGCAGGTATCGCATGTACGAGTTCGGCTGCCCCGTCACCGCCGCCGGGGATCAGCTGTGCGGCATTGTGGCCTGGGGACCACAAATCGGTGGCGCACATCCTGGACTCTTCACAGACATCTATCAGGTCAAGGGATTCATCATTAGGGTGGTGAGTGGCATGCAGAACGACAGTCGACGGCTGGGAAGACGCACACGCAGCAGGAGACCAAAGATGGAGCGCAGTTGGTGAGCGTTCGCAAGGGTGCCTGAAAAATTGTATAAACATTAATAAACCATAATAAAATACAATACTTAACTTGGTCTGATGTTTTTAGCTGCTGCCTTTTGAGTAATTCTCGCAGCAATGTAAGTTTTTAATTTTGAATTTCAGCGCCCAATAATTGTCCTCTTGTGCTCAATGTCCAAAGCTCATTGCTATCAGATCAGCCAGCTTCTGTTGCACAGCGTTTCGCAGTAGTGGCTACAACTTATCGGTTGATTTACGTTTATCGCAGGAGAGAGTTTCCCTGGCTATCAACAGCGCGCGCAGCTATCTATATTTTGAATTAAAGGCGTTTTTAGTAAATTATTAAATTATTGTTGCAGAGTTCAAATTCTTTGCAAGCTATTAATATCAAATAGAACATCAAAATCGATCAATCTGATTTAAGACTACGGTATATTTTTTAAATGAGAATGTATATTTTGGTACACTTTTGTGGGCTGTGCGGTATATTGTATCGATAATTCCGCGGTCACACTGAAATAAAAAGAATTAACTATAATTTAAAATACATAAAAATACAAGCGAATATGGAAGTTGTGAGCGAACTGGTGCAGTTTATGCAGCCAAATCAACGGCTGGACCTCAAGGCGGTGGCTCTGACACACGTGCTGGGTGAGTGCAAGGCACAAACAGGTGGCAGGCCAACCATTGCCAGTCCACGTGCGGCATGTTTTGGTTTCTGTGTGAGCAACAGTGACGTCACATGCCATGCATTTTTCAGGTCTCACCGGCAGCGCCGAGGGCAAAGCGGCCATACTCGGCCTGGATGACTTGCTGATGGCCATCTTTGGGCTGACATACGACGAGAACCACACGGTGGCCAAGGATGCAGTGCTCAGCCTTATAAATCTCACGGCAGAGGAGGAGTGCGCCATCAAAGTGTTTCAGTTGGCCAAAAGAATCGAGCCGGTAAGAGGTGCAGCTACCCCCCTTAAAGGGAACACACTCATGGCCCCTCCCCTTGATTGTTTGCAGCCCTTTGCCATTGTGGAGGTGGCTGCCAAACACATTGGCGACGATCAGTCACCGCTGGCCGATCCCTGGAGCATGGTGCTCAGCAATCTGACTCGCGTCGAGAGCCTGGTGCACGAGATACTCGACATACTGGAGCGTGGCGAGCAGACGCTGCCGCGACTGGCCCAAGCCTTTGCCCAGTTGGACTTCAACAAGAAAAAGGCGCATCTCCACTACCTGGCGCCCATCTTTTGCAACCTGACGCAGGTGCCGCGCGGCCGTGAACTGTGCTGCCATGCGCGCTACCAGCTGCTGGAGAAGCTGCTGCCCTTTGCCTCGTACGAGGAGAATGTGGTGCGTCGCGGCGGCACCATTGGCATACTGAAGAACGTTTGCTTCGATGCGGTCTACCACAACGTGATACTAGGCGAAGATGACAACATACTGGTGGCCATACTGCAGCCACTGTGCGGCCCAGAGGAGTTTAGCGACGAGGAAAACGATATGCTGCCCATTGAGCTGCAGGTGAGTCGGCTATCCATCGTTCCAGTCACCCGGCTAAGCCTCGTCTCTCTCTCTCTCTCTCTCTCACAGTACCTGCCCGAAAGCAAGCGCCGTGAAACGGATCCAGATCTGCGCAAGATGCTGCTGGAATGCCTGCTCCAGCTGTGCTCCACGCGTCGCAGTCGTGAGATACTGCGTGCCAAGGGCGCCTATGAAATTCTGCGCGAATATCACAAGTGGGAGGCGCGCGTGGGCCTCGATCGTGACTGTCTGCTGGCCTGCGAGAATGTTGTGGATATTTTGATCAAGTGCGTGCAGCCGCAGAGTGCTCTATTCATGTGTCTCCTGTCTAACGCACTTTATTTTATTCCAGAAAAGAGGATGAAATCGGTTTGGATAACTACAAAAGCGTTGAGGTGCCCGCGGAGCAGGCCGAGAAATTTGTGCAGGAAGACGCGGACTATGTTAAGAGTCTTTTAGATTAAAGAACACCTAAATGTTGGACTGTAAATACGCGTAGTGTTAGTTAAACTATTGAATTTTCAATATAATGTATGCAATTGTTTTTTTTATTCAGAAATGCTGATAGTTCAGTTTTTTTTTGTAATGCTCCAAAAATTTGTTGCCCTAGAAAAGTTCACTTAAATGCAAGAGAAACAATTTCAATTTCGATTTCAAATTCTTAATTTTTGTGTTTGATTAGTTCAAGTAGCGCTTGACGATAGCTAGTTAGTTGCTCGGACTATCCTTTCTTTTTATTTTTGTATATGTATAAAGAGTTCTCTTAAGTGCTAAGGGGATACGCTTCTCGTATGAAACTTCAATTTATTTTTATAACAAACATTTGCTTGGTCGTCGTGTGTGAAGAGGGGGGTTTCGAGGTGCTTTTTTGATTAGTTTTGCGCTTAGTTATAGTTTTTTTTTAGTTGCACTGCAAGCAATCGATTTCAGCGGCATATGTGTGTATGTGTGTTTGTGTGTGTGTATTCTGTATGCAAAAACCTTTTTGTTCTATCAAAATTTGTGTGTGATTTGTTTGATTTTGAGGAAACCATTTGCAAGCTCGCTTGGACTCGAAAAAGTGTAAAAAGAAATACAAATTCTAACTGAAAATGTATACAAATATTCTGTATGTGTGTGTGTGTGCGCGTTGCTGTTGTTGCCTAGCTTTTGCAACTCGTAGAGTTGTTTAATAATTTGTTTAGTTGGTCCTATTGGTTCTTCTTCGTCTTCCATCTGCTTGCCATATCAAAAATTTAGTTAGACTTTAATATAATTATCTTCGCTAGGCTAGTTGCAAGTTGAGAACTTAGTCGTTAATTTATAGCACTACTACCATAATTATTTTGGTTTTTGTTAACTTAGAACTGTTTCCTGCATAAACGGTGGACTTTAGGGGAAAACTGCGAACACAGAGAGAGAGAGAGAGAGAGAGATATAGAGCGATCCCATACCTGGCCAATGAGCCACACTTATAAATAGAGCCAATAGATTTGCTAACGATAAGGTCTGGCCATTTTACAACCAATTTAGAAACAGATAAGCACCACTCGTACATCAGTTTTCTACGAAAAGTATCAAATTTATTTAGCGATTTACCAGAGGTCTGGGTTGCACCTATCTGGCCATCATGCGGCGCGACAGCACTTCGTAGGCGAAGAGCTTCACCTCCTCAGAGTCGTAGGGAATGTAGAGGCAACCGTGCGACGGATGCACCTTGCCCACGGTCAGAGATCCGGCGTGGTAGCCACGTCCCGCATACAGTGCCTCACCGTCGACATTTTGGCCAACCCTGACGGCGCCGGGCGGCACGTCACCGTTCTCCGCGGCCAGCCACTCGTAGTTGAGGCCACTGAGCGCCTCGTAGCTGTCCAGCTCCACCTCAGCGCCAGCATAGGCCACGTAGGCCTTGCCCTTGTTCGGGATCACCTTGGCCGGCAGCATGTCATTGTTGTAGAAGGCGCGTCCCACGTAGATGGTGTCGCCATCCGAATCGTGGCCAGCCACAACGGCGTTCTGGGGAACAATTCCGTTACTGTAGTGCAACCAAGAGTGACCTGTAAGGAGTGTGCATTGATTGAGGCTGGGAACCCTGAACTCCTGGCAGAGCAGCTCTTCTTACCATCCATTTCGTTCGTGCTGTAGCTTTGTACTAAGCATGCCCATAGCGAGGAAAGTATTGCTTGGGCGTGGAAAAACTTTATCAGCTTAGAACGGACACGATAACGAATCAGATGCACTCAGAATAAAGTATATATGCCAGTATATGAATTGATACTTTCTACCAAAAAATATGCCTAGTTACACCACACTCAAAGAAAGGAAATATGTTGTAGAATTTCTATTGCTGGACAGGATTTTTTTTAGAGATTTTCTGCCCCTACATTATTCTGTACTTTAAATTGAAGTTGAAATATTTGTTATCAAACATTTGAAGTCATTAAAATGTTGAAGGAATTTCTGTTCAGAGAATTGAAGACTGAATAATATATTTTAATAATTTCAAAGATGTAGAAATTCTCATTTAAATTATATTTGATATGTGGAAAAATTAATAGTCTGGATATAACAGGCTGTTTTTTCTTCTTGTAAAATACATTTTAAATACACATTTTATGTACTCCTCAGATATATTTTTTGCGCAAATGATTCTGTTATCTTCTTTATCAAATATTTGAAGTCATCATAGAACAGAATAAACTGCCAATGAAGCATGAATTGCACACATTTAAATGTAAATATTCAATGAAGAAATTGCTTAAAAAATATCTAAAATGAAGAAAAGTGTAAATCTTCTTGCTAGAAAAATTAGTTCATACTTTTTCTTTGAGTGTGGTGACTCAATGTACACCCAAAAGCGGTAACTCTGAACGAATTGGTGTCTGCGCCCATACATTGATAACCCTATAAAGAATCTATTTACCTTTTTTTTGTCATTTATGACTAGCTTTTATGGCTTGATTTAAGGCGTGTGCATAAGCCGGCATAGACTAGTTCCTCTTTAATGGGTTAAAAGAATTAGTGACCCACTTGAATGAAATAGTTTCCCTGTTTCTTGCTAAATTGATAATATTTTGGAGCAAATTCCTGGCTCTCTGTGTTCGCTGGTTCGCAGTTTTCCCTTACACTCTTAGCCCACTAATTTATTTATACACAATTGTTTTCTTTAATCTATTAATCTGGCCTAAAATTCAGCGTTCATTGTAACAAATTAATTTCAATTTGCTTTCATTATGTTTATGTATTTACAATAGTCATCTAGGGAGGCGAAAAATACTCCAAACGCGTTCGCATATAAATTGAAAAAACATTTTGCTTTACGTTTTACCCCCCGCGTGCGTTAATTGTGAAACTTAGCAGCGATAGCACATTAAAATCTAGTTTTCATTTTGCTTAGAAGCTAAAAATAATTGCAATTAGAATTTGAATTAAGATCGCATTTGGTTGTGCCTTTGATTCTTTGACTCTTTCGACTCCGCGAATGCTTTTAGCATACAAGACTCTCTGCGCTTCGTGTTCAATTCAATTATTGTTAGATAGTTGTTGTTGAGTATTCATTCATTTCGTTTATAAATCACATAATTGCTTGATGAAATTCCATAAAAAATATGCACTCCATGGGCCACACTGTGCGGTATCGAGCGTGTCCTTGCTGCGCTGCTCCTTGCTCAGGCGGTGGCTGTGGTCGTGGCTCTGGTGCAATTATTGTAACGTGCAATCCTAGACACTGAGAGAGTTTTTTTTTGTTTTATAAAGAGTGTCAGGAGGTATGACATGCAGGTAGGGGTGGCATTGCCGAACCAAAAGGGGGAACAAAAAAGATATTTCCACTCGCAGCTCGCAGAATTATATTAAATGCTTTTCCACGCTCTTTTTCCCACTTCATTTTTCCAATATCTGCTTAACATTTATGGGTTCTTCGCCAGCACATCTGGCGCATCCTTATGGTTGCCACTTCTATTGCTACCTTGCAGCTGCCAGCAGCAAAACCGCAATGCTTAGCAGGTGCCGCATCAGCGCCTCCACCCTCGCTGGATGCTGCCGCCGCGAGGTGGCCGTGTTGCAGGCATCCGCATCGCTGCAGCTCTGCAGGCAGCCATGCACGTATCTGTGGGGAAGCGTAAAAAAGTGCATGAAAAAAATGTCGAATAATGTTATCAGTTATCGTAGTTGCTGGTTTCTATTTTACCTATTATCGTAATAAAACTTTCCACAGTGCGACATGCGAACTAGCTCGGTGTCTGTGGTGAGGGTGCCGCTGTCCAGGGCACAGCCACGCACCGTTATCGTTTCGCCGGTGTCATCTGCAGGCAGGGGAAATATAAATTATATTAATGCCATGCATCTCATTCATCAAGTGAGAAACTGCACTTACCATAATAGCCGGCGATCTTAATGCAGGCCGTGGCCGGAAAGAGTCCATCGCGGCCCTTGCGTCCACCCATGCAGGGCGACTCGAGTATGGCCGTGGAGTAGTTGTTGTGGAACGGATCATCGCACGCCTTGTTGGCCCCATTGTACGAGACGCACTTGAAGCAGTCTATGCAGTAGCCTGTCGTACGAAAGACACATCAAAATTCGATTGGCATCATTCTGATTAATTCAGAGCACTTACCGCTCCTGACGAGCAGCACGAGCAGCAGCAGGGACAGGCATCCGAGGATTTCCATGATTGAAGTGGGCGCTGCCATTGCTCAAGGCTTCAGGGCTTCAGTCGGGCACAATCACAGAACTCACAGAATAAGGCCATCGACGGATAACGGACACACCACGTGGCTCATGCTGCAAGCAAAAAGGGAAATTCATCAAAATTAGCAAATGGATTGAAGACTCTTCCTCCAAAGTGCTTAAAGTGCTGCCAAAGTTGTTCGATTTCTGCCGAAAAAGTACTCGCTTCAATGCTTAAAAAGCTCATAAAAAGTTGAACGACAAAAAACCCAGAAAACCGATGGTCATAAAAATTATATCCACAATCCGCAGATTTGCAATTTCAGCGAGTGACACGGAGAGCAGGCACCGGCACCGGCACCCACCACAAAAGACAGAAAGCCAAGAAAAATTAATGGCAATAAATTGCACAATGCCGCCGCCCGCCATTCCGTGACACAATTTCTCCTCGCACTTCTTTTTCTTCTTTTTGTTTTTCGCCCTGCGTGTTCCATATTTTTATTGCCGAAGTGTAAATAATTGCTTTTCAGTCGATTTTCGTGTCGAATGCGCGCCATGTGCTTGCTCTCTCTCCGCTGGCATTCCGCTGGCTTTCCTTTCTTTTTTTGGGGCTCCTCATTCCATGCTTTCCTTTTTTGGGGTTCCTTTTAATGGCCACTGTGATGGCCCAAGGTGATCTGCTCTGTTTGGGTCAATCTTTTGTGCGGGTTGGTTTCGTTTTTTCTGTTTTTGTTCCTTCGAATTATGACAAATGATTTTGACTTACGGGCTGTAACTGTAGTTAAGATTGGTGCTCGAAATTTATGGGCATTATGCGTGTAGATTAAGTGGATGATTTGAGGATGATGCGTGAGACGTGAGACAAAAAGAGAGGGTGACTGCTGCAATAACCCTTGCAAATAGTTCGATTTCTTATGGAGATGCTAAAGGGATAATGTATATGGGCAGCATATTCAGCCATCAATCATTATACGAATATAATTTCTCTTCAAATCAAAATCAAATTTATGATTACATCCACAGCAGACTTTGAACATTTCCAGCGAATTAAAACACATTTTGTGTGGATCAATTTTTATTGGAAATTATGGCACTGGCATTTAAGTGGCTCAAAATCCACACGAGTCCACCGGGGACATGCGAGTGGAGGTGTAACATCCTGTGCAGCCGCAAAATCCTCTGCATTAATTATGTGATTTTGAGTGTGTCTATCTGTGGATTGGTTTGGTTGCAATCTGACTGAATCTGTCAAAGTTTTGACACTTTGAACAGCACCGAAAATGAAATTATGTTTTGGGTGTTAGCCTGAAAATGAGGTGATTGATTGCTGTGCTACGGCCTTGTGGTATCTGCATAATGTAATTAAAGGCAGCTGCTAAGTCAGACAGCTACCAATAAAGTTGCCTGCAAGGTAAAGAGATTTGTAATTAAATCGTAAGAGCTTCAATCGGCTTAGAAGTCTGCTGTCGTGCCAATATAATTATGTGTACATCTAGTTGCAAATTAACCACCAAGCAGTCGAACGAGCTGCCAGGTACAATGTCCTTCCAGAGGGCAGGGAAAGAACGAGGCGGATCGGATCGGATCGGAGCGGAACGGAGCGGAAGTGGTAGTCAATGGCAGTGTTGACGGAAACGGAAGTCGATGCCGCCCCTCCATCCTGCCCGGCTTCTAGCCTTTAGCCAAATGAATTTCACCTTTTGTTCCCTCTGTGTTTGCCTTCGTTCAATGCATGGAACACTATAATACTCCCCTTGCTCTCTGTGTCTGTGGCTAATAAATACCTTATATATGTATAGAAAATGTCTGCCATTGTCCTCGCTTAACGACCGTCAATGTACACAGTGAGTGCTCCTCTTGCCAGTACTTAATCAATTGTGTGGCTTTGCCATGGGGCCTTTTGGGGGACCAAGCCCCACAATCGAATCAGGAATGAAAGACACCAAACGGACAGCCGCCAGTCAACTTTCTTTGGCAGCTGGCTGCCACATCGTTACTTTTACGACAAGAGACAAAACAAAGCCAAAGGCAGTTAGGAAAGTGTGTCTGTGTGTGCGTTGTCAAACAATTAAAATCCGTACGTTAAAATTGTCCTTAGACAGGAGACATTTAGTAAGCTGCTCTCGAAAATTGTACAACAAAGTTTGTGCGGCCATTTAATCGCTTATTCATGGACCAACTTGCCCTGTGGGCGAGCATTAAAAATGAAAAATGAACTTAAAGTTGGTGCCCCAAAATCTGCATTTGACAAAGAGCCGGCGCGCTCAATTGGAGGCCATTAATCTCTTAATCTCTGCCTGTTAATGGCAAGCCAGGGGTAGTACAACCTCATTAGGCTGTGGGTCAGATTTGATTAAGTGACCAACACCTGGGGACCAGATTGGGCTACAAAAATGAGCGGCCAGCTAGGGTTAAAAAAAATGAAGGGCAACATTATATTACATTACATTACATTACCCTTCTCAGGGATGTTTATATTTGCCATTTCACTTCATTCAACGATAATCCTGCAGCGCCAGATAAGCCCCATTTCAATCGTCACTGAAGAGGGTGACAAGTTCTGGGTTTTATTTTCTATAACTGCCTAGATTCTATTTCTATTAAAATTCGTCATACTGCGCAGTAATCTCCTGCACACACGTCAGTCATTTCTTTGGCCTTTCCTTGGGTTGCCTTTTTGGCAGTTTACTACCAAAAAAAAAAAAAAAACGTTGATAAAAATGATTGCCGCATTAAATGTATGTAGCTCATAATTTTCCATCGCCCAGCCATCGTCATGGCATGTGCTTTCAAGGCCAATTAACTTCTAATGACCCCGACTATTTATGGACTGTGGATGGGTGTACCAAAAAACTGAAATGTTCGGGACACACGTAAAGCGATTGGGCATTCGATTTATGTCCTGGATCGGACAGAGGGCTTACATTGATATGGGTTCGGTTGCCGATGTGGGAGTGCGGAAATATTTGTCGTTGGGCTTACAGCCCATGCTTACCGGTAGTTAAGCCGCCCATAAGCCTTTCCATGCTGCTGATTTTGTTGTTTTAAAGTTTCCAATCAATGATAGTTCGGACCATCAAGCCAATTTAAAATCATATGTGTGGGAACTTGAGCCATTAAATCTATATAATCCTTGCCACTGAGGGGGGGTACAAATTCAAGTGGAAAAGTCAGCTTATGCAAACACAAATATTGATGGTCTCAACCAGCATGGGGATACATGACACTCGTATTGATTGCAGAATGCTATTGAATCTGGTGGGAATTGAATTTTCTGTTCTTTTCTTTTCTGACTAACTTTTGGCACAAATAAAATTCTCTTTTAAAGTTTTTCAACTTCCGGAAAGTTTGTCAGTTTCCACTGAAATTTAAATGAGACTGACTAATTTTCACTTGAGTAAAACGTACGGCAACGTGGCACTTTGTCTGCAGAATTGAGGTCAATGGTCTGTAAAATATAATTAATTCAGTGAAGAGGTCAGCTCTTGTCTGCATTTGAGTTGGCTGTTCCTGGAGCTTGAAGCTGCTTAAGACATTTGAATGGAGCTTCTTGGAGCAGCTTCTAACTGACACGAAGGCCGCTGCTCTGTTTGCTGCGCTGTCTGGCTAAGTGAGACTGTGATAATTGTGTGATAAAGTGGTTTTAGTCAGCACACACTAAAAATAAATAAATACAAATGTATTCATGTTAAAAAATTAATTGTATATTAAAGAGAATATTTATTGCATATTTAAATTATCTTCATTCACTTTGCTTAAGATTTCTTTGATTTAAACACACATTTTTTGCCAGTGTAACCTTGGCTCCTAATGTGTGTCTGCAATGTTCACTGATTCTCAACCACAATTGGTTGAACAACAACCCATAATCGATGCTCTTCTGAACGCGTCTGTCACTCAACGCTGCCACTCGCCTTTTGCATTGTTGTTCAGCTCTCAATGCCCCACACGCTTCAATGGTCAAACGCAAAAGGGAACAGAACATAGTCAGCAGGTAAAGGTAACTCAGATACAATCCTTAGCGCTCTCTTCCTCTGTATTTTCAGAGCTTAGAAAACACATTTAATTGCTGGTTTACTCTGCTCTTCTGCTGGTCAACTAAATTAATGAATTTACTCTGCACTTTAACCATCGCTATTTCCGTGGGTTGTGGGGGGCAGCCGCATAGCCTGTTGTTTGCTTTATCCACTTTTACTGTTTTGCCTGCTGTTGCGGTTTTTAGTTAATAGACAAACAGGACAATGACAATGGGGCTGCTGGCTGTCGCTGCCTTTCGGTACATTCCTTGCAATTAATTTAATTATTTTCTAAATATTTGATCTTGGCTCTCAGCGGGATTTGTTCATTAACTAAAAGTTGGGTAAGCAAAAGCGTAGCTGAGATTAATTTAGGAAATTGCAATAGACAATTTTAGTTTGTTTTTACTTCAGCTAGAGCTAGTCTTGAAACCCTTTAATTATTCCATGAATCATGATCTTTTAAAGCAGGAAAAGTTCTTTTAAATTCCTTTTGGTGTGCAAAAGTTTTTGCACAAGGAACTCAATCAAAAGTTCGGTTGAGTGTATAACCGAATGACATATTGAGTAACTGAGTGAATTGCCACAAACGGAAAGTTTTCATGACACACAAAACCCATCCATGTGCCATGTGCCCCAAAGGGTTTTGAAAATTTCAAAGTGTTAAGTTCAATGTTTTAATGAACATGTCAGTCTTCTTTAGTGGGTAAAATAAAAATTACTAAAAAATAAGTATTGCCTTTTACATCTGTCAGCTTAAAAACAACAAATAAATTTCATGCTATGCACACAGAATGTGGTTCCAGTTCGATTTTTTCTAACATTTGATGACATTTTGACAACACAAAAATCCAATTAAATGCAAAACTTCCATCCGAGTGTAAAGAAACGTCCTTTGGGGTTGAGGAATTCAATGCATTTCAATGAGGATAACCAGCAAAGTGTGACACACATGTAGAAAGAGGACTAAGCTCATGTAAGCTGCCATAGTCATAGTCTTGCCACAATTTATTAGATTTACAGGCAACATTTTGAGTGCACAACACAGAACGCAATGAAGCTGAAAGCGGATGTGTGGCAGCCACACAAAAATGCATG